ATGATTTTTCCTGATTGATTGCTTATGTTGTTATTTTCATAATTTGCCAAATTAATGTAAATGTTTGATGTTAAACTTTGATTCTGTAAATAAATGACCGCATTCATTTTGATGGGTCAAAGATAAATGACGTCTCACGTTTGCATTTCATTAAATTCAATGCACGTTTTATTCAGTTCAGAAAAATGAGGAATCCGTGTTAATTGATGAATATATCTGAGCATCTGTTCATCTACACTCTTCAGCACATATGAATAGTTGTCATTATAAATTGCTATGTAGGAACAAAAGTTCATCTACATTTTCTGGATTGAGGGTGGAACGCCTCTCCTCAATCAGTCTCCCAGCAACACTGAACCTACGCTCAGAAGGAGTGCTTGTTGCTGGTATTGCTAGCAGCCTCTTGGCAACTGGCACTAGCCCACCAGACCTCTCATGCCAGAAGTTGAGCAGAGACTGGAAGCCTGTCAACTTAGAGTCACTCATGTACTGTACCACAAACTGGCGGCCCCATGACTCTGAAATACCACCACTGTCCCCCTCCTGTTGCTGCTTTTCAACACAAAAGGAAAAGAAGTCGTGCACCTCTGTGGGACTGGGAACTGCCTCTCGGGGTGGACCTTTGGAGAGAAAAAACACAAAAAAAGAGATTCTTATAGAACATTACCTGTATTGGACATTACCTATTAGATTATACAGACGTGTGTGTGAATGAATGCCTCTAAATAAATTATAGGAAGAAATGTTGTTATTACATTTTAGAATTGCTGTGAGTGCTCTGTCGATGCTAGTTTTACTCACCCTGTTTCTTCTCAAGGCTTCTCGCTCTCTCCTCTGTCCCTGCTGTTTCTGTGAGTGCTGCCAGGGTGTTGATGACCTCCTCATACTCCTGACCGGAGAGCGTTTTCCTCAAGAAACTCCTCAGGCTAGGAGAGAGAGCTGTGGCTAGCTTATGGTACAGGTGGATTTTGAATTTCAACTCCACTGCCTGGGCCAACTTCTCTTTCAGCTAGAGGAGGAGTGAAATCACATGATGACACATGCAGTGATATGATAATGATGTATGCAACATCATTATTACGGGATATAAAAATTTCACAGGTGGACAGGCACTGTGCTTTATTATAGGCATGGAGGAGTTTTAAATTTATTTCAAATTTAACTTGTACAATGTTTCTTTTGGACAACATCAGACTCAGTTCTGTTCTTGCCTTTATCACTGTTACTGAATAGGGCCAAACTCCTGTTAACTACTTGAATGATCAAACTAAACAATAAAAATAAACAAAGTATTAAATTACCTCTTTCACAATTGCACTATCTCCATCCTGGATCAACAAACCCTGCAGCAGGGTTGCCTTGGTTGGGAGGACGAGGTGAAGAGTAGGTGCCTGATGGATGGAGAGGTGCCTGGTAGCCTCATCAAAAGGTTTCAGGAGCTGGATGACATCCTCAAGAAGGTCACAGTCTATGTTGTTGAGGTAACGGAGCTCGCTTCTGCGAAGCAGGATGTCGTGCAGCTTACCAGACTTGAGAGCATCATTTATTGACTGGAGCATGGCAAGTCTGGTGTTCCACCTCGTCTCCACAGCCTGCTTCAGTGACTGGTCCAGTGCTTTTTGTAACCTAAAATTGAAAGAAGACCGTGCACAAGTCAAAATAGGGTTACAGGGACTATAAAAATTGCAATTTATTGGCCTTTCTTTTGGAAAAAATATTTTATTAAAAAGAAGAGCTTTACAACTGAAACTAAGTCAAGAAAATGTGACCTTTGCAGTTATAAATTACAGTACCTCAATTTTTCTTTATTTATTTCACTTATCATATTTTATGATTATTTAAGCAGCCTCACCAGGCAGAGATGACAAGATTTTATGTATCTTACCCTGCCCTTTTGAAATGTGTGACCAGGGTCTTTGCGTCCTTAAACAGCTTGATGACGCTGCTGTGTACTGGGTTGTCCTCATCCAAGTGGTTAAATACGTGTTTTAACATCAAGTTGATATTATGGAGAGCCGCACATAATCCTTGAAAGCAGCGATCATGTTTGAGCCATTATCTGTCACAAACACAGTGTGCTTGCTCAGGATGCTAAATTCCTGTTAGGTAAAAAAAAACAAAAAACAAAGACAAACCAAAAACTTAGCAAATAAGAAGACCAGACATATGATAATCACTAAACAGATTGATCAACAGTCATGTAATTGTACGAAGCACTTTTCAATAAATTTATAGTACTACATTAGGACAAAACATATTACATATATTCCACATGTGTTGTGTATCAAATGAAGGAAAACTCCATCTGCAATTAAGGTAAAATACTATGGTAATCTGCCTAAGTTGCTGCCTACCACGGCACAGACTGATGTACAGCGAAGGACCGTGACACACGCTTACTGATGCACTTAGTTATATTCCAGGTTAGTCTGCTCCTGCAACCTGGAACACCTTTCAGCAGGAACTGAAGTTGTCCACCTTAATTTATTGTGAGGGGTTTTAAACATTTCTTAATGTCAATAAAAATCTCAAAGCAATTCTTGTTTTTAGTATTTTACATTTTTTATGGCACCCTGATTTATTGTTTTAGACACAACTTTTATTTTAACTGTATTTTTACAGCATTTTTACTGTAGTTTATCGTTATTATTGTTCTCTGTTATTGTTGTCTGTACTTTATATGTTCTGTCTGTCTGGATTGGAACAGGTCTCTTGAAAACGAGTCCTCGTGACTCAATGAGGTTAGCCTGTAAAGGTTGAATGAAAAATATATATATTTGTCTTTTCTATTGTTCCTTCTGTGACATGTTCTTGTTATTGCTGCACCATGTTCTCATACTTTTCCCAATTTTACGAATTAATTGGCAATATTTATTGCATATGGACTGTACTTATATAGCGCCTTTCTGTCTTATTTCAAGACACTCAAAGCGCTTTACACTACAATCTGTGCCTCATTTACCCATTCATACAGCTCTATACTAGACCTCTACAAAGCTAATATGGCATGTAAATAAAGATAATTATCTCATTTGAGTGTGAGATACCTGAAGGATTTTCTCCACAGTCCCTCTGATGTGTTCATTAGATTTGACACCCTCCATCTCCCTTGTGGCCAGAATACGGTTCACCATCTTCCCATCCAAGATGTAATGGACTGTAACGGTGATGTAGTGTGTGTTTGTCCTCTCCTCTGTCCAAAGGTCTGTCGTGATTGCATGGTCTCTAGTCTGCACCAAAGGAATTACGTATATTGTTATTAGCTCTCAAAGTATATTACATGTAAAACAGATGACTAATTTATAGTTGAGAGATTAAGCAGTTTAAAAGGAGGAGAAAACACAGATTTAGTGTTAGGAAATCTATAATTATAGCATGATGTCAAGGTAAAATGTTTGTACTGTATTATAAAATAGTGCAGCGTGACAGACATACCTGATGGAGCTCTTCCATGACCATTTTTTTTAATTTGATCATATTCTCCTTGAACATGACGAGAGACCGTGCGTCCACATGGCAGTATGTCTTGTGCCTCAGCGTTGTTTCCATACTTTGCTCCAATGTCGATTGCCTCCTGTATGACGTCGATGAAACCTTTCCCATCTTCTACAGCAAATGGTCTCAAATCTACGCCACACATGCGGGCTATTTTGTTGGTCATACGAGACTTGACTCCCGACGGTACTTTTCGTTTAATGAATGAAGAAATGCTTGGCTGATTCGTTCCGAAATTAGCCTTGCAAGTGTGCCTCTTCAGACCGCTCGTCTCTGAGTCAGTGACGTACTTTATTATAACTGAGCATGTTTTGCAAGCAGCGTAGAGCGTCTTCACACCGTCACACTCGACTCTCATAAAGTTCTGAACTATTAGCGCCTTCCCTGACAGTTCTGTTAACCTAACAGATGCGTCATTATTCCTAACTTTGCGTTGCAAAATATTTTTTACCCTCTCGGTTTCTCCGCTGGCGTATGCTCCCTCCATGATGTTGGTTGACACAGTAAACAAAGAGGTTGGAAAAGGCGGCCGGAAGTAGCTGCTAGAAAAGGCGCCGGAAGCTGTTGGCGCAGCCGCCTGTCTGAAATTTTTTTTTTTTTTTTTGCCTATTTCTTTTTTTGTCCTATGTTGGCTCCCGCTCCCGTCTGCTCCCGTTAAGTTTTCGTCCTGTCCGGTCCCGATAACGGGAGTTATAATAAAGTTGACTCCGGTCCCGCCGGAATCCGGCCAGATTCACGTGACCGGCAGTACTCCCGAAAAAATGTCATCCTCTAATCTCTACTAACGCTAGTCGGGCATCTAAGCTAGTTAGCTTTTGGTCAATTGACTCCAATATCTCCTTTAAACCTGAATTATCAGGAGACGGTGCCGTAACGCTGTCTGAGCTTCCCTGTCGATGCCGCTTAGCAGTGGGGATGTTAGCTGAATCGCTAGCAGCACCGGATGTTTTTTTAGGCTTACCCATGACCAAGCTGTCAAAACACTCGTCAACAAACGATTCCAGGCTCTCCAAGGTCTCCTCGTCCAGTTTGTTTGATTGAATCAAAAAAGTTTGTTAGTAATATTTAGGACTTTCTTAATGATCTTATATTTAATTAAACAGTTTTTATTTAAATAAATATGAACTTACCAAAGTTTTTATCATAATACTCACGCACAGTTTCTTCCTAGTTCTCAGCAACAGCTCATTGCACCGCCACGCCCCGAGAAGAAAGCTCCCCAGGCCTCCTCGTCGCATGCTGCAGCTCCCCAGGCCTCCTCGTCGCATGCTGCAGCTCCCCAGGCCTCCTCGTCGCATGCTGCAGCTCCCCAGGTCTCCTCGTCGCATGCTGCAGCTCTCCAGGTCTCCTCATTGCATGCTGCAGCTCCCCAGGTCTCCTCGTCGCATGCTGCAGCTCCCCAGGTCTCCTTAACGCAAGCCGTGTTCCCTCTGGTTCTGTGTTTTTGGACGGCCTCCCGGCCGCCCCCCTGACCTGGCCCGGTTTGATGGACAGCCTCCCGGCCGCCCGCTGGAACAATGACTCTTTGGGATGATCCCTTGACCGTCCAAATCCCTTGTGATCCCTCGTGTCCTTTTTCTGGTTCCTCATGTCCCTTTTCTGGTTCCTCGTGTCCCTTTGCACCACACCCAACTTTTCACCTCGTGCCTCGCCTCACTTAACAGCAGGAGTGGGGACGTTCAGCGGACGAGGAAGCGCAAGTTAACGGTAGCTCATCTCCTGTTTTAGCATTACAATTGTTAACCGATCTGGCAATCTTTAGAATCTAGGAAAAATAAGACTCCAGGGTGTTGTTTTACACTCAAAAAGCTAAGAAAACCGTTTAAAACCTCCCAAATACTTCTGTTGTTTCGTTGAACCAAGTTTTTCCACTTCCAAGAACAAGAGGGTGTGTTTGAAAAAAGAATCCAGAATTTGACGTTTTGCTTTGCTTTCAATCAATAGGTTTTGCAGGGGAACAGTAGTATAGCACAATAAATGATTACACTGGGTTACACAGAAATTACATGATGGATGATTCTCACTCTTTATATCCTTTTCAGTTGTTAACCTTCCCTAGGTGAGGTGGATGGATAGGTTTGAGGTTTGAAACAGGCGCTTGGTCTCCTCTCAGCCCGGCATCGGACTTCACTCAGTCCAGCCGGTCGTGCCCGGTTTCACTCAGGATCGTTCTGACGCACTTAAATGCTCCAAAACCTTCACAATCACCCCCAACTCACAACCTGATCTAATATATATTGTCCCTTACCACTTCTAACAACCTTCGTCAACCCCAAGCAATTGAATCCAAAATATAATCAATCTCTCTGCTTGTAATTCTGTAGGCTACCGCTCTGATCTGATTTAAATGTTGACAAAGGACAAATTTTTCGAGACATCTCCCTACCATCACTCTCTGATGGAATTCCTGAGAATTCTGGTGCAGTAAGGAGCAGATTACCTCACTCGCTCTGGAATGAGGCCGCCTCAGGCTCAACAGCTGTTCAGAATCTGAAGAAAAAGGATCTGGGTGATGATCCGGGCTGAAGTGAAGAATAACTCCAGTGCAGCTTCACCAAGGAGTTTTATCTTCGGATCCATCCAATTTCTTCCTCAGCTGGAACCGTCAAAAACTTATCCTGTTTTCCTCACACTCCAGTTGTCTTCAGCCGCAGTTTGTCAGATCAGTGTGTATTTATAGAGTAAGTTCTGGTCACCACCTCCAATGGGTCATGCCACCTCTTTTGGCCCTCCTTTCTGGGCTGGAGTTGGCTCAGGATTTCTATGCATGTCTATAGGAGATGATTACATCATTCTTATATATATTAAAACTGGGTGTCACCTTAATCTGTTCGGATTGGTCCAGATCTCTTCTGCTTCAACTTTTGAGTTGTTATTCTATTCTCTGTTTCCTTATAGGGATTCATGTTTTGCTTGGAGTGCCTCAGGAAGCGTTATTGTGAAACACTCTTCTTGAGTAACTCATCACTCGTATAACATTTCTTGAGAAAACATTTCTGAGAAGACAGTTCACTCCATTCTTATACTCTCAACATCATGAAACAAACTTGAAACAAAATACATTTTAAAATAACAAAAGATTATAATATCAACTTGATTATCTTTACTTGATTCGTTTGTAAATCAACAATTTCTGTTTCTTTATTTAAGGACAGTTTCATTAGGAAAGAATGTATTCCATCCTTTACTCCTTCTTTTATTCTCTCTCTCCTGTAGTGAACTAAGCCTCAGGTCAAATCTGGTCCTGAGGGCCTTCCTTGGACAAGAACTGTTACTTCATTGATTTGAGTCCAGAAACACAAAATTAAGTTCATCCAGAGACTTTCTAAGTGTGTCCTGCACTGATCAATTGAAAGAACAATCTTTTTTATTATCATTACTATTTTACAATGTCTTGATAATCAAAAGTGTGTTTAGTTCAAACCATTTTAATTGTTGAAGTGAACTACTCATTTTAAATCAACTGTGAAACAGTATAAATGATTTTT